CTCAGAGTAAAGTGGGATACTGGCCACCCCCAATGGCTTTCACTCTGGTAGAGGACAACCTAAGACAGGCACGGTCTTTCCATCCCAAGTCTTGGCATGTACTTCATCTTTAAAAAATATAAAAAGAAAGGGGGATATGTCAGGAGCCATGCTTGCCATAAGCATTGGAAATTAAGAGAGTGTCACTTTAAGAGCTTCTGAGCTCTCTGCTTCAGCAGTTTGAGCTGACAGGCTGTGCCTCCATGATGAATCAGGTCTCTTAGAAACTTACTTTCGGTTCGGTCTTTGGGCACTGGAATTGGTGAAGTAATGCAGCAACTGGCTGCATCCGCAGTTACTTTCTGGTAGTAAAATATCCATGGTGATTCCTTGGTGATTCCTTGGTTACCCCAAGTCTGATTCCTATATAAGATCTGTGTTCCCCACAACAAAAAGCCATTCCTGTATTCACTCACCTAACTGTAAGACTCTTTCTTTGAATAAATTTATCACATAAACTCAAGACTTTTGTTTTCGCTATTTTTCTTGTTGAATACCCAAGCCTGGTGGGCTTGGGGGATGTTAAACAAAAAAATGAGAGAAAAGTATGAGATTTTGTTCTTGGTCAGCAGTATCTCAATCAGAATGTGTGCCAGTTACTTTCCCCCTCCTGTGGTAATATACATCAACCAAAAGCAAAGTTCCATCTTCTTCCACACTGATCCAGAAAATATGGTCAGAATCTTCACAGCAATGCCTGATGCTCTGGTTCCAAATCTGTCTTAGTTACTTTTCTTTTACTGTGATAAACTACCATGATCAATTCAATGATGAAAACTTTTTTTGGTTTATGGTTCCAAAGACAAAGTTAAAAATGACAAGGAAGGGAAGATAATCAGACAGGTATGCTGCCAAAAGCCAAAAGTTGAAAGATCACATCTTCTATCACATGCAGAGAGAGAAGAGTTCGTGTGGGGGCAAGGTTATACACTTTCAAATCATACCCCCAGTGACATATTTGCAACAATTTTTCACCCTCTAATCCTCTCCAAAGAGTGCCATCAACTTGGACTGAGTGTATAAATACATAAGCCTAAGTCTTCCTCATTCAAACCATCACATTCCCTGCTTGGCATCCACATGATTGTAACCACATCATAATGCTAAGTGTATTTAGTCCAACTTAAACAGACTCCAAAATCATTAACAATCTCAACACTGTTCATCTTTCCAAAAACTACTATGAGACTCAGGCAAACTCTTTACTGTTAAAATCAAAAGAGAAAAATTATGTACTTCAAACATACAGTGGCATAGATTACCCACTACCATTCCAAAAGGGAGGAATACAGATACAGTGAGAAAAAAATAAAACTAATTAAGACCAAAATAATAGGGAAAACACTCAAAAACAAAACAAAAAAACAAACAAAACATAATGGATGTCTAGGACTTTGGCTTTAAATGGAGGCTAGCTCTGTTCCCACATTGTAGGTCTCCTTGGCAAATGCATCATGGTTTTAGCATCACTGCCATCAAGAGGTTCCACACACCCAAGACATAACTTTCACAGCTTCACAAAATGGTCTTTTAGGGCCTCTAGTCCAGATGGGACCTTCTTCATGCAGGAACTCTCCTGCTACAGCATCTCTGACTGTAATCCAAAAATCATGAACCCCTCACTCTTGTATCATTTATGACTCCAAAACCAGCATACAAAGTCATTTGGGTTTTTTTTTTCTTTTGGTATTTTGGGTTTTTGTTTTGTTTTTTTGTTTGTTTGTTTCTCAGGTTTTATTTTTATTGTTTTTTAACTTATTTATTTAATGACATAAGTAGAAGAAGCATATTATTACAACAGCATTGACATATTCAATAACAATTTCCAGAGTAAAGATACATCTCTTTCAAAAATGTCTATAAAATTTTTAGGTTTGCTGTTGAATTAAAACAATTATACAGTATTGAACTCAGTACAAGCCCTGTAAGACATAAAACTGAATGAGTTTTTAACCTTTAAAAAACATCTCCATTTCATTTTAAAATATGCTGTTTCTTACAGAAAAACTCATTGTTTTTGCTAATAACGCTGAGATGCTGGTGCATGTGTCTCTAATCTGTATGTATCTGATTGTTACTAGTCATAATCAGTTGCACTTGGATCCTTGGCACCTGTGTATGTCTGTAAATTCATCAGGTAGATTTCAATGGTAATGTTTCTCACCTTTACCAATTAACATGTCATAAAATTTTATGCTTCCTCCTCAAATATAATACATTTTTTAATTTGTTGAGTTGTGTGTGTGTGTGTGTGTGTATGTATCACACAGAATATCTCAAACCATCTTATTCAACTATACACCCAATTTCCAGATGGCACCCTCCCATAGACTCCCTCCACCCACTTGAGCCCTTATACTCTGATATCCCTGCTACTGTCCACTGTGTGGTTGGCACCCCCAGCCATTCTCCACTACTTGTCCATCTGGTGAATCTAGTCAGCCTATCCAGAAGTTTTTCTTTTACGAGGGTCAGCTGTTCCTCATCTAGCAGCAATCAGTCGTCAATATTCCTTTAGATAAGATTGGGGTCTGCTGTTCATTTTCCAAGTTCTATGCTGGGTTACTATCTTGAAGTCCCTGGGGCCACTCTGGCCAACAACTCAAAAGAAGGTATCTCCTATATGGCATTGTTGCTTGTTATGTAGCCTTTAGCTATACATATGGACTCTTAAAAATTATATTGGCCCTTTTAATCTCTGGTTATACTTTCCTTTTGGGTATTTAAGGCCTTACAGTTGGCCCAGATAAACCAATTTATTTTTACTCTTAAGGCCATTTGAGGATCTGTTCCTCAGGGGTCACATGGGCTTGGGAGGAACTCCTGGCTCCTTTGTTTCACCAGTTCTGCCTATGTGAGGATAAGTTAAAGGTCCTACTTGTATATCCTTCCCTCCCTCCTCCCTTAAACTAACCCAATTTTTATCCATATCTCTCTTATTAAGGCCTGTTTCCTACTGTTCTTCTCTTTC